TTGCTGACTCGATGTGTCATCTAGGTCGAGATCCTGCAGTTGGAGAATAACCTCGCGGCGGCGCGCGCGAGGTTGGGCGAGATGAGGAAGATTTCTTATCGCGAGTAAGATAGACGAGGGTTCATGGAACTGGGGAGGTGGAGTGGAGGGGAGGGGAGTGGAAACGAACGAGGGCGTGGCGTGGGGTGGTGGGATAAGTTTCCCCCTTTCCCCAACACAAGAACGCGAAAGAAGTATGCAGCTGTACAACCCGAAGTAGTACTGTGTCTATACCGGACAGATACTACTGTACCCCCTACACCCCTCACCCCTCGGCCAACTGCAGATGGAAGAGAGGAAGAAAGACCTGACGGCTGTGGGAAATCGACTACACCGGTGACCAGTGACCCGTGACCAGTGACCAGTGACCAGTGACCAGCAACCATTCTAGCCCACCCCTTCCGGACCTCTTTTGCATTTTTCCTGGTTCTATTTTATCCCTGTCAGGCGGCCGCTTCGTCTCCTCAATACTTTTCTCCTCGTTTTTTTAACTGCTCGCTTTTCTTCCTTCATTTCTTTGGTACTCCCTTCCTTTTACCTTCTCTCTTCTCTCATGTATTTGAGTGGTGGTTGGGGATGGTTAGGAGAGGTGGAAGGGATATGGATATTAGGACTGTGCTGAGATGTATGCGAAACTCCTTCATCCGCCCGCACAACGGAGAGGGTATGGTGATATGGTAATCAACCTCAGGCATGGAACGGTTGGGGAGAAGATGGGGAGATGGGAAGATGGGAGGATGGGATGGTTCCTGCGGTGCCTGCTGAGATTTCTCCTTCCTTGCTTTGGTTGCTGTGCTGTGCTGTGCTGAGATTGGGATGGGGATGGGGATGGAGATGGGGATGGGTACCGGATGTTTTCGTCTGGGATGGGGGGATGCGGTGCGCAAGGATAAGGTGTGGAAAGTCAGGCTGCCTCTGCTGGATGATGGCTACAGGTGGGTTTCTGGATGGTTGGTATGCGGTTCGATTCGCATTTGGTAGGTCTTTTTGTTTCCCCTTGCCCGGAAGATATAGTGGCTGTCTCTTGAACATGCACTGCACCTGCTTTGCTACCTTAGATATTGCAGAGGAGAGGAATTGAGAGATTGGTTAGGCACCTGCTTTGCTTGCTTGCTAGCTTGCTTGTTGAGCTGGCTGTATTGTCGGCGGCGTGGTCTGCGCATTTGTGCATGCAACGATATCCTCCGGAACATGCAGCGATACGGTTTTATCTTCAAGGCTGGTTTTCATGTCGGGGTAGGTGCCCCTACTGCTCCTGGCTGCTGGATCAGCTGCACCGCGATTTTCAACGCTCGTCCGGGTGCGTGTCTTTGTGTCCTCGAAAGGTGGCCATCTACAGTACTGGGTCGGCTCAGCCTGAGGAGTCGTTATCGCGACTTTGGCTTGCCTCTCCCCCGCTTCTCATGCAGATCTTATCTCCGATTAGCGGTGTGTGTTTCTGTGAGTCGAGTGAGAACTCACAACGCGCATTGCGCAGGTATGGATGACAGGGTGAATGGCTGGCTCGGTCTGAATTGAGTCTTGACCGTTTCTCTAGGGTGAAATGGGCTGTTGTATCCAATTGGCTTGCTTTAAGGTTGGTTGGACCTGACTGCCTTTGGACTACCTTCCATGCTCTTCTACTTCTTCTCCATTCCACCTTCCCTTGTGTTCGCTTGTGCTGGTCGATGGTCAGCCAAAGTGACGCCCGCTTTTGTGGTAGGCATGGGTTTGGGGTGGTGTGAGGCAAGAATGAAGGTTGGCGTACGAGGAAAAAAAGGTGTGTGCTTGAAGCGCTCCTCTTCGTGGTCGTTGCATGTGCTTTCCAAGGGCGATGATGTGGTAGTGCAGATGAGGCAGATGATCTACAAAGCCACAGCGTAGTAGAGCTCTGAGGAAGCAGCAGTAAATGATGATGGAGAAGTGGCGTGAGTGAAACTAAAGTAAAGGCTCTGGTTGCTTCGACTCCGCTCGAACCATCCCGTTGTGGCGCATCTTTGGTTTTTTTTCGGAGGCTGTACCCCTAGCTCACATTGGGCGCGAATTGGTGGAAGGTATATAGAAGGGGAATTCTGTTGGAGTCATTGTCCGCAAGTCCATGTTTCGGCCCCGGGTTGTTCTCAGTGGGATGGAATACGACGTTGGGGGCGGAGGCAACTTCTACAGGCCGACAGAGCTGCCCTCTATCACGCTTGGAAGCGAGTTTCTTCGCTAGAGTGCCATAGAACTAGGGAGTGCCAACTGGGCTGAAGATGCGGGAGCGAAGCAGTGAAGGAAAGAAGGAATGGGTAAGACATAGTGGCAGAGATGGAGAAGGCAACGGATAATCTTTGTGCTCGTTGGGACTTGGTGTAGAAGTCTAGGTGGATGTTTGGAGACGGGTTTGGTGTATTTTAACAGAATGTCAAGGAGCTTCTGGAAAGCTCCAGGCTGGTTCTTGTAGGGCACCGATAGGAAGGTCAGCGGCATGAATGGTATTCTCCACCCACAGTAGAAGGACAACGATAAATCGCACCGAATTCATTGCAGTCACGGTGAAGGTGTAGAGCTGGTACAGCCATCTCACACTCTCTGTGCTATCTGAGCAGCAATACCAAAGCCTATCACCATGACTCCGTGATCCTCGTCTTCATCGGTTAGTAGGTACAGAGTCTGGGAGATCGTCCCAAGGCGTTTCCGTAGGCGTCGGATATTCAGGGCAGCAGTATATGATGACAACACCAATAAATATTCTTGATCCCAGTCTATTGCACTAACGTACAGAACCACTTGCCGGGCCACCCCACTTGCCGGGCCAATTTCTGCACACCAACGCGCAGGCATCCTCATATTCCGAACAGCTATAGCTCCACCAATATAGCTCCAAATGGACTCGGATAAGGAGCATTCTATTCAGCAGGCCTCAAACGACGTTGATGTAGGGCTATTTAGCTCAATTCGCAAGGCTGCGGAGTACTATGACGTGCCAAAATCCACAGTGGCCTATCGACGCGCTGGACGACCCTCTCGAGCAGAAACCGATCGCATTTCGCAACGCCTCTCGAAACAAGAAGAAAAAGTGCTTATTCAGTATTTTCGAGACCTCCAGAGGCAGCATCTATGCCCAAATTATGCACAAATTCGTCGAATGGTCACTAAATTGCTGCAGAGCAAGGGGGATAAGATTCAACTAGGCAAGCATTACGTGGAGCGTTTAATTGCTCGCCATCCAGAGCTTAAAACGCGACGAAATCGACCAATGGATATCAAGCGCCTCATGACTCTTGATTCTAGTGTTATTGAACGCTTTTTCGCCGAATTTGAACAGCTTCGCAGCTAATACGCAGTCGAGCCGCAGGATATCTACAACATGGATGAAACAGGGTTTCAGATAGGGCAAATAGCGTCAAAATACGTTGTTTTTGACCCTGCTATAGGTCGCCTAGTGGCTCCAGCATCAGATAACACTCAATAGGTCTCTATTATTGAGCGTATGAACACAGAAAGGGCTATTAAGCCCTATCTTATCTTCGTTGGCAAGAATGCTGAACATTATATGTTTCCAGAGCATAAGGAGCTCCCTGACGTTATATAGGCCTTCTCTCCTAAAGGATGGACTGACGAAGAGCTAGCTGTTGATTGGCTGCGTCGGATATTCGTCCTAATTACGTCAAAACAAGGCAAGCATATCATCCTAATACTTGATAGCCAAAAGAGTCATATAACTAGCGAATTTCAGTATTTCTACCTCGAAAACAACATCCATCCTCTCTATTTACCTGCGCACGCTACCCACAAACTTCAACCTCTTGATGTAGGTCCATTTTCGCCTCTTTCAAGCGCGTACAGCCGCGTAGTTGAAGAATACACTCCAACCGGCATAGCAGCACTCAATCGGAGTATTTTTACTATACTTTACGTACGAGCGCGTCAGGAAGCGTTTACTATGCGAAATATTCGCGCAGGATGAAGAAGAGCCGGCATTTGGCCAATTAATAAGCAAAAACTGCTGGATGATCCTGAAATTCAAAATTTTGGCCGCACAACGCCTGAGTATCAGCCTGCGCCTATTCAAGAGGGTCCTAACCATCTTTGTAGCACTCCGAAGAAGCTGGATGAAATTCGAGAGCTTCAAGCGCAAATTGAGGCCAAAGTTACTCCTCGAACTCGACGCTCTGTACGTAAGCTTAGCCACGCGGCTATTCAAGAGCATGCTGGCGCGCAATTGCTTCAAAATGAGCTCAACAACGTACGGAAGCAAATGCACCATCAAGAGGTCAAAAAGCGCTCAAAACGCATGGTAAAAGAGAGGGTACAGCGTTCGTGGAACCTTGAGGAGGTCAGAGCTGCCAAATAGGGCAGGGCGCCCTCTAGAGTGCAAATTACGCACCGTTCAGAGAATTCGCTGCGCATTAGAATTCTATCAGATAGACTCGAATAGGAAGTATCGCCAGCTTCATTATTTCCCTAATTGGACGTGGATGTTGGCCCATTTGAATGGTAGAATTACTGCGTAAAGTGTGTGCAAACTGGCCCGGCAAGTGGGGTGGCCTGGCAAGTGGTTCTGTACGTTAGTTGACAGCGAGAGCAACTCCAATCGCCTGCCAGAAGTCCTAGCGAAGCTTCTTCCTCCATGAACGAAGGAATAATTACAGCGTGGATGACGTTGCTTCGGAATGTCAAGAATTGTACACTCTTTAATGGTGTTGAGGACTTTCGGCTTCATCAAGTGCTTGCTGAGTTTCACGCCTGGAGACTCGAAGCAGGACTGGTACAGCAATGATATAGAGCGCAAGCAGTCGGACGAGGACTCATAGATATGTAGGGGATCCATGGGAAATGAAAGGAAATTTGTTGTGCCTTTCGGGGATTTTCTATCTACGTCCTTGTATGGCTTCTCTAGCTCTTCAGACAAGGACAAACTTCTATTATACATGATTTGGCCCATAGACCGTGCAGTCTGCTCTGCCAAATTGCCAAAACGCCAAGCCCCCAGCCTGAAAACCCCGCGGTTGACCATCGTCCCTGAAAAAATTGTCGTAGCAGCTTGACAGTACCACTAGGCGGGGGTTTTGAGACTGTAGATGAGCCTTTCCAATGTTGCTCTCCGTATGTTCGTCCAATGCCTTATTTGCTTCAAGTGACGTTGCATGTCGCTGCAGGGTATGTATTTGGCGGCATCGCTAAACGTCGAACTCGACATAGTCACCGAGGTCAAAGGGATCGAAGTCGTCTTGGATGACTGTCGGGTCGAATGCGAGGATAGGAACCCCAACCTCAGGATGGAAGTGGTGGGCGTATGGGTACTCGTCTGGGTAATCTTCCAAAGCGCGTTGCACATCCGCAGTGGCTGTCTCGATGGACAAATTCTCTGCGTATGGAGCAGGGGTAGTCTGATCACCCTGACTGGCGTCTTCATTGATCTTGGCCTCAGCGATCATCTTGGATGAGTTAGCATGGAACAACTTTCACAGAATGGAATGCTTACCTCATCGAAGTATCCGTGTTCATCAGTGAAAGCACCAACGCTTCGGTCCTCGCCCACGAAATTAGGAATCTTTGGAACGCTAGGTTGAGCAGCAAACGCCATCGCAACACCACCACCACCAGAAAAAGAACCCTCCACAAGACCAGTCTCGTAGCAGTGCTTGACCATGTCTGCAGCAGAAAGGTTGGTACTAAGAGGTGTGTCGAGCATCGTAGTCGCCGCATTGACCTTGACCAGAAAATACTCGCTTGGCCCATTGTTCAAGAGTTCCCATCCCATGACTGAAAGATATTTGTCCGCAGGAATGACGCCCAGCAAGCCAACAGTCTCGGTTAGGAACTGGTCAAGTGTGATGTTGTTCTTGTGGCGAACACGAAGCTCGGCGTCGCGAATCTCAGAGTACGCCTTCGCCTCGATCGCCCAGAAGTGCTTCCAGTGATCGTGCTGCCAGAGCTGACGAACAAGTCCCGACTTGATCTTTTGTGTAAGACCGGCGAAGATGGGGCTGTAGTAGGCTTGTCATGGTTAGTACTTATTCGTTCGTCATTTTTATTGAAAGACTTACATCGGAAGCAGATGAAGCCATTGAGAGGACGCAAGTTGACGCGATCCTTTCTCTTCACATCAGCCTTGTTGCGAGCCATGATTGCACGGGAGCGGGGACGATTGAAACCACCTGGATTGCCGTCGTACTGATCAAGCTGAGCATCAGTCATGACTGGAATGATGGCATCAGGAACAGTAGTGGAACAAATCTGCTCGGTGAGCTGATTAAGCGCATCTGGAGCCATGTTTGAGAGATTGGTGACGAGCGCCCGAAGCACACTGCCGATTGCTTGATTCTTAGGGCGAAAGATTGCCTGGATAACTCGTCAATTAGTCTGTTCAGCATGAAGTGGTGCTTCAAACCCACTTGCTTGACGATCTGCGGAAATTGGGCGTCAGGTACCCTTTCGGAGTTTTCCGTCGGATTATCCTGCGATGTATCAGAATCATACAAATCAGTCTCGATAGAAGGAACACATACGAAGTCTATCATCGTAGTCATCTGTGCCGGTCGACCAAGTGGAGGATTGTTCTTTGAATTGTCAGCTGGACCTACAGACCCAGAACCAAGGACAAGCAGAGCTAACATACCTGTCGTACAAAGTGCAAGATCTCCCGCTCTTCTTTTTCAAAACCAGCGACAATGCGTGAGGCGACGGGCGGCAGAACCTGCACCGTGGATTCAGGTGTGGTTCGATCCGATGTGAAAGGAAGACCTGGTGCGTCAGAAAGGAGAAAATTCTCCCAGCCCCTAGTGCCATCGAGGTATCCCTTCCTTGAGACGTTCTTTTGCCATGCCTCTTGTATGTCTTGTACCTCGCTTTGCATCAGCAGGCCACTGATAGCTTCGCATAACTGGAATCGCGAATCGGCAGCCAAGAAGGTGAGAAATCGAACCCTTGAAGACTCGGATGAGAAAAGCCGAGGGTGATGCAATAATCTTCTGATTTCGTGGGCTATGAATCCAATACGTTCGTCTTGTTCTGCTCGATCCAACTGTCGCAATCTGCTTATCAGCTGATGGGATTGAGCTTTACAGAACTCGACACAAAGAACGATCAAGAAGTCGTCGGTACAAGACTGCTGAACAACACCATCTTCTGAAGGTAACGTAAGCTCGGGCGGCATGAAATGATATGTAGAAAAGCTCACTTGCAACCACACCGCGATGAGCGCTCTGCCGTGCGAGGTCTTCCTCCTGAATGCGCGATGGCTGATTGAAGGTCGCGTGATTCTTCAGAAATTGTGGAAAAGACATTGTCTGATCTTGCGGAAAAGCATTCGTGATCTCAACTTCAACTTTTAAAGTGTCGAGATGATCGGGTTGCCGGCCAAGGGCACCAACGTAATTAAGTAAGTAGCTTGAGGGTTGCGATTAAGAGGCAGATCGATTAGAAATAAAGCTGCAAGCAAACGGTAGAACCATAACAGCAAGAAAAGTGCGTGTGCTGGGTTGGTGATCACCAAAAGGTCTGTGCATTGTCTTTGTCTGAAGGTGAAGTAAGGTCACAAGTGAAAGAAACACCAGGAACGATGCCCAGAAAACACAACTTGAGTGAACACCGCAGACCAGAACATTCACTACCAGGCAACTTGCGCCAGCCGCACAATACTAAGCCCAAGATGAATTCAAAAATATTTAATAAACATCTTCAATTCTGCGATCCACAGGGCAGGTAACAGGGCAGGTAACACGCGAGTTAGATATCGACCAAGTTTCCAACACCACACTCTTGTCAGGTATAACTTGGGGTTTGTACTTCGATATCATCGCCAAATCACCAAAAGCAACATGGCTGCCAGCATAGCTGCCAGCGGAGAACAGAATCAAGCAATCGGCAGTGTGCTTCGGGCGTCGATTATGAATCAGACCAAAGTCGTCTCAAGTGATCATGGTATGAAGCAGGCCTCGGGCAACGACAAGCATGCAAAGATCCCTCGTCCTCCCAATGCTTTCATCCTCTATCGTCAAGCACATCACCCAATCATCAAGGCTGAGAATCCTGGCTTTCACAACAACGACATCTGTAAGTCTAGTCTAAACGAGAAACTCTGTATCGAGCTAACAAAGTGGAAGCCAAAGTCCTCGGCAAGCAGTGGAAAGAAGAGTCTCCAGCGGTTCGCCAAATGTTCAAGGCCAAAGCTCTGGAGCGCAAGGCTGAGCACTCTAAGATGTACCCTGACTACCAGTACGCCCCACGAAAGCCCGGCCAGAAGAAGCGTCGTGCGGCCCGCAAAGGCATGGAAGCTGGTGACGGGAAAGAGCAATATGATTCCCTTTGCTTCATTGACCAGGAAGGGGATTTCTACATGGATTCGGAGTCTGGCTCGGCTGTTGGTGATGACGATATGGATGTCATCGGAACTCACGTTGATGATCATGTCCGTCGCTTCCACATTGATGGCGACAACAACATCGGAATCATTCTGCCCGCTGCGTCCAACGTAAACTTGGCCAAGATGGTTGAGGCCCATAACAAGCGTGCTCAACAGGATTCCGAAAGCTGCGACTATGACCCAGCCAAAGACAGCCAGGCTGCGCAATCAATCCCGCCGCACGTACAAAACGATACTGACTTCTTTGAGGCTCTCATCGACTGGGATGGGATTGCTGAAGATTTCAAGATCATCCAAGAAGCAAGTGGTGAAGACCTTGCAGGCCTTCGTGAAGTCGAGTCTGGCAACCCGTACTTGTCTCTCTCTGATGAGGACCAGCGCGCACTCTTCGAGGCCGAGTTGGAGAGAACTCTCAAATTCTTCGATTGATTTGTCCCTGTGGTGTTCTCGAGGCGAATGATTCATTTTGCACCTCTTCGTCAGGCCCTACGTCTTCCTCCCGATGCACTCATCATCGACTCACAGGAACGACAGACTAGCCATCGCTGGAACTGATGCTTACTTTGCTTCGAGAATCTTTTGACATCACGGTATCAAAGTACGAGCTGGATCATCACGAGGTTTTGGACTGCTGTTGGAATAGTGTTTCTTTGTACGTTTTCTCACACTCTCACCTTGTTTCGCATCACTGACATGCGCAGCATCTTCGACCATTGCCCTGCACCTTGTTCTTCACCTCGAACATATGCAGCATCAGCTCTTGGCTGATCAACCCGGCTAAATTGGGAGCTGAAATCCGCCTTCTCTGAGAACTGGTTCCAATTCTGTTCAGGCGTGGAAGCCAAGAGGAAGAAGGACAAAGAGATGCACGGATGGGACAATCAAAACCCCGAAGGCATCCCTACCATTCGTGTACTCTAGCACTCCACAATTCCTCTGCAGTTATTGCTGCCCACGCTTGAGAATCTTCAACCCCCATCCAACCCCCGACAGCATGGTAGTTTAGCAGATAGAAAATCCCAAAAAAGCCCTCGGGCACCCAAAAAAAAACGTCTTGCATTGTACTATGGGCTTGATTGTGAGGATGCTACTTACCTACCTACATAGCTGGGTATGCTGCCTCATACCGCCACCAGGAGATAATGCCTCCAGAAGACAATGCAAGCGAGCAAGGACAGACCTTCGGACCTCCTTCTTAAGTTGTTGTTATAAGCTTTGATGTGACACCGAGCTATGCAGCTAGCTAACCGACCCCGCCTCCATCCCCATCCCCATCCTCCGCCCATTCCCTACCCTAACTAGCTAGCTCCCACAGAAGCAAGAAAAAGCGCAAGCAAGCCCACGGGGTGGTAAGGGAGTGGCCATTCCCAGCACCGTCACCACCACTAAAATCCATAAAGAAATACCACAAGCAAAAGCAATCACAACAACGACTACAATAAATTGTGTAATCATGCGCATTAGGACACAGGGCACAGGGCACAGGGCAGAGACCCAGTTCCACCCACAATGAATAGATTCAGAATCATTGCGTCACGCCTTCCTCCGTGGCCCCGGGAAATTTGTGTTCGGCGCCTATGGGTGCCTGGAGGCGCAAATTTTGGGGGCCAAGTGACTTCATAGGTCAATGTGTAGGGGAGGGGCGGGAAACACAATCATTGACCTTGGACTAAGGTAGGAATTTTGTGTGTTGTGTGTATGTGTGTGTTTGGGTGGGGTTAGGGCATAGGGTATGTATGGGACTGAGGTCTAGCGCTGTGATTTGGCTTCCTCACGTGATTATGGTCTGTTGGTTCCTGCTCTTGTCGTGGGCTGGGTTTGGGAGGGTGGGGATTTGGGGAGGGAGGTAGGGAGTGAGCAAGTAAGCGGTGGTGCGTCTTCTAGGTCAGCATGTTGAGACTTGATGGGTTTGTGAAGGGATGAGGGCAGGGGGTGGTGTGTGTGAACGGATCCTGATATGGACATCGAGGGTAGGAAGGAACGGGTAGGGGAGACGAGGAGATGTAATGGCCCTTCAAGCAGAGCTGGAGTAGTGGTCATGAAGTGGAAATGAGTTCTGACTGAGTGGAGAATATGTGGCACTGACTGCTCATGGTATCGAAGCTGCTTGCGCCAAGCCAGCTGTCCTGGTTTCTGACAGGCGAGGTTGAGATTCTAGGCCGCCCGCTGATATTCACCTCTAACATATCGGATGGTATGCCGTGGCCGCAGTCAATGAGCTCCGTTCTTGTCAAGCTTTCCCTTCCCTCGTGCTCTCTTGCATATTGTCCTTCAGCTTATCCATATTTCTAGGCAACCTTCTTCTCTTCAACCCGTCTAGCTTCGTCCTCGTTCATCCTCCCTTCCCTCCTTCTTCCTATCTCTCCTCGAATCACGATCTTTGAGGACATCTGGATTGGCTATGGCGAGAGGAAGAATCGACAAATAGAACACGATGCTGTTGCCAAAGTCTTTCAAGGGTTGAAAGTTGACCGGGCGAGGAGGCATAGCGAATTCTCAGCAGCAGGCAAAAGGTTACTGGATACTTCAGCACGGTCAGATGTAACGGCAAAGGAGAGCATACTATGATATTGTAGATCAAAGCTTCATCTAAGTCCATGCCGAGGCCACTGGAGAGAGCTGTACATAGTTGGATTTCGAGGTTCGTATTTGAAGGATGCGGCACAGGCATGTACCTGGAATGGAAGGCACGCACTCAGCTGATAGTGGTACAGAGACCTTTTCAGGACCCAGAAAGCTGTAGGTGAAAGCTGATCACAGTCTCATGATTGGAAACCATTCCTCGTCAGCCACCACCATTCCAGTCACTTGCCCAGATGAAGGTGCTGCACCTCCACTGCGTTCCTTTCTCCTTATTTCCGCTGGGTCCCAGTGGTCTGGCGCACATCCAGAAAGATCTGCCACAGTTCACACCAGTCTTCTTTGTTAGCATGGTCTTGCAGGGTTCCTCATGCTCGCATTTGGGTGCGGCAGGCTTGATGAAGAGCTTGCCCCAGGACTCTTTTGATACGATCGGATCGACGAAGCTGTTACTATTGGACTGCTGGCTTCTGGTCGGAGATGGTGTAGCTAGATCGTCTGCCGCTGCTGTAACAGCGATATCTACTTCTGAAATTTCTTGGGTCTCTGCTGCTAGAACCGTTATCTTTTCCTCGTCTGTGCCATAGAGTCCATCAGATTGCGAGGATGGTTTAGATGTAGACTTTGGCTGAAAGAAGCCTTTCAAGCTCTTCTGGCCTTTCTTGATTTCGGCCGTGGTAGATGGTTGTGACCCAGATTTTGCTCGCTTTGCTACGGGCTGTGTGGTCTCCTTCTGGCTTCTTTTTGTTGACGCGCTGTTCTTCGGGACTGGAGCAGCGATCGGTACGGACGGCGCCACGACCGAGGATTGTGAGTCTTCGTCCTGCTTAACTGCGGGCTCGGGGCTAGGCATAATCGTAGGAGTCCGGTCTACGCTACCGACAAATGTGCCATTGGAGCTTTCAGCAGTCGGCAAAGATGGCTTCCTCGAGAACATATCTCTTATGTTCCGACGGCGATCAAACTCGGTGATCAGCTTGCCTGACATTGGCAGCAAGTTCTTTGTAGTCCATTGGTGTGCTCTGACCCCGTCCTGAAACATGCCTGGAGGGTTCAACAAATCGCGCATGAACACCTCCTTGCCTTCCATGATGACCTGGTCCTTCAAGACGGCGTACACAGGACAGTGATCAGACCCCTGCCAGAGCATTAGCAAAACGTAGCTGCAAGGATGATCATTTGTACCAAAAGGCCTTCCTGGATATTAGAGTCGCTGAACCAGTCCCTCATGTCCAGGCTACAAATAACATAGTCAATTCTTGAGCCATAGTTCCCAGGTCGAGCATTGACTTTCGTCTCCCAGCATGTAAACATGCCCTTCCGCCCTTCATGAAAGCTGCGCGTCACATCCCACATCACGGGCCTCTCCCGGCCTTCATCTCTTGCTCCAATCACCTTACCACCTAGAAGCATCTGATTGAACATCCTTCTTGCAGGTGTGGACACATATTCTTCTCCAGTCATGCCATGCTTCCGCATTGACTCTTCCGCGGCTGCTGTATCGAGCTCTTCCCTTGAGATGTTCAGATCCCCAGTCCAGATCACCCTCTTTCCCACTGCAACGAGATTACGGATCCTAGCATCTACCATATCCAAGAAACCGATTCGAAATGCATCGCGGGTGTCATCGCGGTTCGCGGGACAGTAAGTTCCAATTAGGACGAAGGCAGGGAACTCGAGTATCACACATCGGCCTTCAGAGTCTAGTGTTGTCGCATCAACCTCGGATTGTCGTAGTTGTTCACCAGTTGGATAGCCACCAATCTGTTCTTCTTCTGGCAGATCTCGAAAGCTTGTTGAAGAATTTGGTGGCGTAAGGACCCCGGTGATCCCTTCCTCAGCTTTGATGGGGGCGCAGACAGAGTTCCGCGTATAGATCACGACGCCAGAATATCCTCAACAAGTCAGTCAGTAATGGACTGCTTAGGACTGCAATGAGCAGTACCTTTCTTGTGCTTCGGCAGACTGAAGTAGCAGTCCCACCCTGGGACAAGAACCATGTCATCTCGAAGGTCTTTCCTTTGGATCTTGGTCTCTTGAAAGCACACTATGTCGGCCTCAAGGACATCGAACATTGCCTAGGTTGAAAGTCAATTGCCTGCAGGAGAGGAGATGACCTTTTGTGCTGACCTCGAATGTCCTTTTGTTTCGCCATGGTTCATAGCCAAATGGGTTGCTGAGCACCGAAGCCTTCAGAATTATGGCTGAGCCTACTCAAGGGTGTCTTACCGTATTCCATTGACTGTCAAGTCACGATCAGCCCGCTTCTCTTAAAGTAGTACTGAGGTACGTACCATTCCATGTGGTGATTCGAACGCCCATTGTGGCTTCAGAATTTCCTTCGCTTCATACTTAGAAATCGAGTTGAAGACGGTAAAGACAGACGGCAACCAGTGGACTATCCTTCAGTAACCTTCACCATTTCCCCTTCACCCTCGTCGTGAGTCCAATGTTATCGCCAAATCTTGACGAAGCAGGGTGAGTGATCTCATCGCAACAACGTTTCTCCGAATGCTTCGCCAAGCCCCAAGCTCCTCTGTCCGCAACCAGCGAACTGAACGTCAACTCAACCTATCTCAAACCACACCATCTCAGCGTTCCACGAACTGCGCTCTATCGAGAGCCCAACCACACTGACCATGAACACCCAACGCCTCGGCCTGCATCTCGCGCGCCAACCCCGCTCACCCGCCCTCCGATCAACCATCCAACGCCGATTCGCAAGCGACCAGATCGAGCTGAAGGGAGCAGCAGATAATGCATTCAACCGAGAACGAGCGGCGGCAAAGGCCCATGCTGCTGCTACCAGTGGTCTGTATCCCCGCCTAGCAATCCACCAAATATACTCCTACTGAACCACATTCCTCCGCAGATCTCTGGCGCAAACTCTCCATCTAGTACATACCCCCCCCCCCACAAAACCTCCACAGCCACACTAAATCAGAATGCAGCGTCACAACGCCGTGCCTGATCCTCGCTGGTATCAACGCCTGGAATCTCTGGGACGAGCACTGGGAGCACTGGGAGCATCTGCCGCCGCTGGAGGAGAGGATCGAGTATCCGTATCAGAATGTGCGGACGAAGAATTTTCCCTGGGGCGATGGCGATAAGACCTTGTTGTATGTGTTTCCCCCTGATCTGGGGTGCTGGGTTGGGTTGCTGACGCTTCGACAGCTGGAATGATAAGGTGAATTATCATAAAAAGGACAAGGTTACGTGAGCGAGCTTCTGGATGGAAAAGCGAGGGGGAAGACTCGATATCACGAAGTGAGAGTACTGCAAGACTCTGCTGGAGCAGGATGAGGGTGGTTGTACATATTGTTTTTCTGCATTGCTACCAGTCCATCATTGTTGTTCGTCTCTAGCACAGAAAGTCTTTCTTCGAGCTGACGACTGAGAATTACCAGGGCTGGCGCATGAACGCACATCCAGTTTCTATCGCAACATATTCCCCCCCGCCCATAAACCTGTGCTCCTGCCATTAATCCACATCCACACCCCAAAGCCCAACCCTCATCCCCTCATCTTTTCATACTCCCTCTTCAAGTCCAGGTACCGACTCGCCATATCATTAGCCAACCCATAGTCGCCACAAAGATGCATAACCGTCGCCTTCTTGGCCAGCATCTCCCCTTGGCCCCTCGCATCCTCAATCCTTCTAAACTCCTCAAACGCACAATCTAGATACTCCACCGCCTTATTCAACCCCTCCTTCCTCCTCGCCGACTTCGCTTCCCCAGCCAAACCCATATGCGCGTCCACCAGCGCCGAGTACGTCCTGGCTGCGAGATGGCCGTCCTCGCACTCGAGGACCTGCGGCACGACGGCTTCGAGGAGCTGGATCGCGGCGGAGAAGTCGTGCAGGTGGAGGAGGATGTTCGAGAGGATGACGGCTGATTCCCAGAGGCAGGGGAGGATGCGGGCTCGGTGCGCCATGCTGGCGGCGCGGACGGTGATGGAGAAGCCTTGATGTGGATGGCCGCAAAGCGCTAGGAGACGGGCTTTGATGTTGAGCAGTTTGATCTGCGCGATGATGTCGGTGTTTTCTTCGTGGGAGGATTTGGCGAGGGTTTCGACGAGGTCAAGGGCCTTGTCGTAGGATTTTTGGCGCGTATGGAAATCGATCTCGAGCAGGGAGAAGGCGAAGGAGAGTTCGATGTCAGGGGCGCCTTGACTGCGGAGTTGGGTCAGGAGGTGAGATGACGTGGTGAGGTCGTCGTGGTGGAGGGAGCGGCGGAGTTGGAGCATGCCGGCAGAGAAGGTCCAGTATTGTCGATATTTGAGGACACGGAGAATGGATTCGTCGACGTTGTCTAGCATTTCCCTGGCTTGGTTGTAACGCCCTTTCTGTACGAGGAGGTTGGCCATCCTGCATGTAGATTTTAGGACATCCTCTGCGGGAGCTTCGTCGGCATAGCAATCTAAGAAGATGTCACCGCCAGACCAGGCAAGGTGTGCCAGTCCTGTTCGACCATACACAGAGCTTCGCATGAGCAGCGTCGGACCCTGCACACTGGTCACTCCTTTGATAACATTCAGATGTGCTGACTTGGCAATTGTTTCAAAGGCAGTGGCGATGCTTTCCCCCTATTGATGTTAGCTGTTAAAACAAGCTTCCACAAACTGCACCACTCACGTTCTGCAATCCTAGCTTGGCCTCGCTGAGCAGTGTCGTGCTGAGCAGATTCCACATTTCTGCATCTTTCGCCCTGGTCTTCAAGAAGGCTAGCGCCTCATTCTCGCTGCCGAGCATGCCGCTTTCCTTTATCTCCTTCATCTCTGCCGGAAACGCTTTGCCAAAATGATACAGCCAACTCATGCAGAAATTGAGACAAGTCACGTCCTTGTTTTCCCTTGCAATTGAAATCGCTTCTTGCATGGCGGGTATGGCCTCGCTGTGGCATCCGAAGTCTGCTTGCAAGATAGCCAAGTTGAGCAGTGCATATTGGTAGAAGGTGCGGTCGCGGCTTTGCATTGTGTAATCAAAATACCGATGCAAGTTGTCGAATGCAGAAGCATAGTCCCCGGCTCTCCAGCAGTCGAGGAATTTCAAGTAGTGTCCCAGACTCGGCAGAGGAGTTCCTGCGACCGACATCTGCCGGAGTTTTGATCTCATGTCGTCTGGTAATCGGCCTCCAAATCCTGTGGAGCGAAGTCAGGATAGACATGGTTAATAGCTGATAGATCCCTACTTTGCAGTTCCGAAACATGAAACTCCATCAGTCTTTCCACATCATGTGTGCTCAAGAACTCTTCCTCTACATTTCCCTCATCTTCAGGATTGCCGTACATGATCTGTGCAATTGGATGCGAGCTGTCGAGCTGTAAGTCAGAGAGGTTGACATCAAGGCTACTCCGACCGTAATGCGGATTCTTCTTCTCAAAAGCCTGCTTTGTGGGCCTTCTGTAAAGCATAAAACTCTGCCAAAGTGCAGCAGCATCCGAGAAATGTAGTCGTGTATACTCCAGATGTGCTCGTCTGATGAAGGCCCCAAGGGGAGATGTACGGGATATTCGTCCAAATGGCTCCGGCGGAAGACCCTCATCTCTTTCTCTCTGCACTTGCTCTCGAGACTTGCTGATTACGGTCAGAGCATTAGAGATGAGCTGCTCCAAAGCATGAGAGCAATCGATCGACCACAGCTTTTTCAAAAAGAGATCCCAGACTGTTCGGCCTGGTATTGCTGAGGGGATGGAGGACAAGGCCGACTCAAAATTATCCAACTTGATGACATAGCTTGTATCGGATGAAGGCGCATGAGATGATCTCGGAGCATCAGGGAGAATATGCGAGACAAGGAAAGAGAGGACTGGAACAGTTTCGGGGGTCGGTACAACGCCCTCGGCGTAGATGAGTGCTAGAGAAAGCAAGGCTACTTTGGAAGGCGTGAGATATCGACTCATGATCACCGGTCAGATGTATCACCATCTGTGGAAGATCAGTCATATCCATACAGGTAGGCACTTGTTTGACCTATTGAGCTCAGGCACGGTCATTCGATCTGCAAGGAAGAAAATCTTCGCTAGTACTGTATTATATTGCAAAACTCCAGACCAGCAGAAATAGTGGTCCATCCAAGTATACCCCTAATCCACTGGCAGCCTGAAGTAAATTTGCCAAGAATGGCGCCTTGAATAATTATAGATGTTATGATGTTTAGGACCGGCTTCTCGCAACAGGGACACATATTATGATATTTTGAACATCTCTGCTATAGTAAGTAAAAAACCGCTTCCTGCCCACCACCACCAGCAGATCTAACTTATCCCTTCCTATTTCCTCACCTCCCCGAGTCCCCTTTCCGCTTCGCCCTTCTTACGATTGCAGCCAGCTTTACGTTGAAGTCGCTCTTCTAAAGCACTACAAGCTGTCAAAGGTGCGTAATTCCTCCTCGTCACGCGCAACATGTTTCACGGTCCAATGCCAGAGATCCTCCTGTTTTTCCACAACGTGGCTCTCAACACTAGAATTGATTTTCTTTGTACCTTCAAAGTAAGCTCCACTCACACCTGCTACGTCCTCACCAACTGCAAGTCGCGCTAACGCAATCCCTGACTCCTCAGGTGAATGTATATTAGGATGGACGAAGCGACGAAGCAGAGGAATCATGCGTGGCATGACGTTATTCCATATCCAGCGCAAGACTGCTGAAGCTTCTCGCACCAAATCGGTCCCAGGCATCAAACCAGGATCGAAAGCGTTGACGGTGTACCTTTCTTCACCCCTAGCAGCTGCTGCTATGAGACGCTTGTCTAGGGCGTATGTCCACATAACATTGCACAGCTTGCTGGTTGCATATCGCTGTCTGCCACTGTTCTTTGCAGACTGAGGGGAGGGATGAGCCAGCTCCTCGGCGGTAGTGTATTCTGCATCGGGTAGCCCACTTTTCTGAGCTGGGTCATGTGTTCCACTGGCTGTGATGACAATGCGGGCCTTTTCGGCAAGATGCGGGCGAAGGAGATGGAAGAGTAGGGCGTGCCCCACGTGGTTAATTGCGAATGTGGACTCCACACCGTCTTTAGTGTAAGTGACGCCATTGGGGAACTGTAGTCCGGCGTTAAGGACGAGGGCTTGAATTTTTGGGTACTTCCCCTCTGCGTATTCTGCTGCGAAGGCGCGAACGTTGTCGAGGTTGGAGAGGTCTAGGGGAAGGTACTGGACGTTGGTTTGGCCGAGAGCTTTATTGATCGAGGCGGCGGCTGAGTTCGTGTCAGAGCGGGATGCAATCAGAATCCGAGCTTCCGGGCATTGTCGAGCCAGTTCAAGTGCACACTGGTAGCCTAAACCTGAGGTGCCACCTGTTATAAGAATTGAGCGTCCCAGGTCGGACATAGCTAAGAACGCTGTGGTGAAACGGCGCTGGCTTGAGTGAGTTCGAGTCCTCTTTGATGCTCCAGGACAGCAAGATGACCAGAAAATAGTCAAGTGAAGATAATGCAGAGGATTTCACAATGTGGACTACAGCCAGCGTATATATACTGCCTCAAAAGAGTCCATTCTTCTTACGAATAATTCTGGCTTGTCCTAAGAGCAACTAGCAGGCTGGAAAGAAATGGAGTTTGGGAATAGCAAGATTAAAGCCGGTAAGACAGCGAAACGTCCTGAGGTCGTGTGGCTTCACTTGAATACCTGAGCGGCATCGTCGGACCACGCGCTCAGTCAGAAGGACGAAGGACTAGACATGAGTTCCATAGTAAACAGAACCGAAAGCACGGAGTAAGCCCGGACGGTTGGACCGCAGCTCGGCTTTAAAAGTGGACGACATACCATTGGTCAATCTTGATCTCCAGCTGACAGACTAGCGTTGGGACAGGATGGAGAAAGTATCGAACTGCTCTGTAGAGTGCGTAGAAAGCAAGTAGTAGCATCTATTGAGGAGCTGAACGCGTTCGGAGCGGTATATTCAGAGCGGTATATTCAGCAACGGTATATTCGGCGTTTAGGTCTTGGCGTGGCTCCGTAGTACTTACTAAGTAGTAATCTATATATAGCGTTCCTGAGTTTTCCTAACACTTTAATAATCTAACTCTTATTGTAAATTTCAGCTTGCTGTTGCTTCTTAAGTAGGTATTGAGATAGATATCCTTAGTATTATTATTCTTGCTAGAGCTATGTCGCTATAGACTACTTATCCTGATTGCCCAGAGCACTCAAGAGGCGTAGGAAGTGCGACATGGACTTCGTTCATAACCTGCATATGCAACCTTATCTTGGATGAGAGTCTGCCTTGAATACTTCCAAAGGCAACATGCATCGCTTGCTAGGGTGGCCGGACTGTGTAACAGTGACAATCTCATCCCCCTTTTTGGATACTCCTTTTCCTCACAATTTGGCGCCTTGGCATGTTCTGAGGATCTCATTGGGTAGTGGGTCAGAATTCTGGTACCAAATGTAGGCTCCCCTCACTAAGAGAGCGGCTATAGACTAGGATTCCTGAGCCACAGAGTGAGATCTAATATTATCTGCGTGCAGAGGAAGGGCCGTTTGATTATGGAGGCGAGCGAGGTGTGGTAAGTAGTTTCTTACTTGGGCACGATGTTTAGTAAGGGAATTGGTCGGAGCGCATGGGCGAGGCGGCAGGAGTGAATAACCGGTAAGCTATCACTTGGAGTAGGGAATAGTGGTGTGAGGTTTGAGGGTGGGGTTCAAGAAAGGACGCAGGTTCTGGAGAGCAGATATTGCATGCTAGAGGACTGAAGATGGGGATTGGAAATGGCGTTGCAAAGAGAAGCCAAACATGTGTATAGAAGGTCTTGCAGGGATATTCTACGATTTGTGGCCGTGTATACATGAAACTTGGAGCGATAATCCACTTGCCGAAAGTGATCAACCCATGCATCATCGAAAAGGCGAGTATCCCTTAGGGTCTCCAGGTCTCCCTCTATCTCCTGTACCCACCTTTCCGAAATGCTCCGGAAATCTCTCTCTCAGGCTAGGCTTATGCTCCGGCAATTTGGCCTTCTCCTCGGCCCTGGCGGCGAGCTTCTCCTCTGTGACTTCGCTCAACCTTGCGCTTCCTTGATCACCTTCCTCATGATCCATCCTACCATCAATCTGGCCCCTCTCATTCAGATTGGTAGCCCAAATCGCACCGATAGCAAGCTCAAATGGTCCCGGTTGCCGATCAATCAGCCCGATGCCAAAGCTCTTGACTTTCTGCCGTAGCATTTCGGATTGAGGTTCTGTGACGACGCCGTGATTGGTGCGGACAAATTCGTGGAATTTAATCAGCACAGTCTCCCATTGTCCAGGGTCTGAAGGGCTTGTGGCGCCTTTGTGTTCGCGGGTGTAGAGCCGATGCTGATGGATGTCTGTCTCCACAATGGAGTCGGTTTGAATATTCACGAAGTACCGACGCCCATCGGATTTCACTCGTAGGGCGAGGTACGTGTAGGGATCTATATCCCAGAAGAGTTTTCCGAAGGCGCTTCGGCCTCGGTCCTCATTACGGAAGGCTGCATAGCCTGTCCTTTGAACATCTGGACGATTTTGGGGAAGTTGGGTGGAAATGTTGCCGTGGAACAGGGCATGGGTAGGGATCTCCTCAGAGGTTTGAGGATCAGTGGAGGGAGGGATTTGGGAGAGCTGGGCGGCAGAGAAGCCTCCGACAGATTGGTCAGACATCGTCTTCATCCATGTTATTGTTTCAGGGTCATTGAAGTTGAGGAGCGGACGAGGAGCTGTGGGAATAGAAAGAGCTTCGAATTTGAGGGCTGGAAGAAAGGATCGGGTTAGCTGTTGAGCGAGTGACTGATTTTGGAGGCATAGCTGGCTGCAGATGAAAACTCAATGTTCAAAGCAACGCTTTACAGAGTCTTGCAAAGAGTGTCTTGCTCATAAGAGATGAGCGGCTGATAAGCTGAGGACTGCACGATACAGGTCTCTCCGAAGGAGAGATCTCATTCTAAGAAGTGTGGAATACCTGTCTGAGCACCTCTGCTGAACTCATCCATTGTCTTTCTCCAGAATCCGGGTGCATATCGCCGCAGCGTTGGAAACACCATGATTGTGACTCTGCTGGGTCATGCAAGTGAATGACGTCCTATGCCGATGAAGGGATTTTGAAGCCGATGAAGAGCGTCCGGCACCGATGAAGGAATCTGCCAATTGCAGGGCGTCTGCCGGTTGAATTACATCGCCTCGGGAAGATGCTAGGAGTGTATTCCCAACGCCGCCAATGTTGGGTGCGGGAGGTGTTCCGATGCCTGCCGCCGATTAACAGTTTTCAAGAGCACTTCTTGATATCTCTTATTGTGGATAGGACTCTTCAGTGGTAGATGGCGTGATGTCTTCGACTGTGAAGTTGTAGAATAGTTTCGTCATTGAGCAGCCATGCACAGGTACATAAGACCGCCTGGTGGCCTACCTAGCGCAGAATTTACTCCAGGCGCCAAAATATTTTGTCGGTCACACTGGTGTCAAAGTACCGCATCAATATTCTGTCTCTACCACAACTGAATGCCCCAACACCAAGATGTTGATTCATCTTGATGGCAAGGCAGTGAGCAGCAGGCTGCTCTGACACTCATTTATTTTTCCTTCATCATCTTTACTGCCTCAGAGCACATCCTCATCTTGCTGGGCAAGACGGCTCACTTCCGTTTTGGTGTCAACTTGGCCTCTGGCCTCCACCATGCAGTAGCAGCAACATAGTGACAGCGATATCTTCTAACGCCCGTCAGACTCTTCTTGATGCCTGTATATAGCTCTCTTGAAGTCTGCAACACTTTATCTTCAGCTTGGGTGGGAATACAGCTCGCTGGCGCCAGCAATCCGAGGCCACCCTCACGGCTTCACACCAGCTCTTGCATCTTCTCATACAACTCAGACTATCATCATTGCTGACTTCTCATACCATGCACATCCCCCTATAGCTGTCTTACTTCAAGACAATGCCGCCGCAGCTTGTGGCAGCTCTCACCAAGCAAGAAGATCGGTAGCATGGTGGCCGCGCCCACATCGGGTAATCCTCGGTTCAGGGGCAACAGTGAAGAAGCACTTCGCTGCATCCATCCTTTCTTTCTCCTTTCCGGGCTGGGAAAGAGCTGGCCAGCAGTAGTGGCTACATCCATGAAGATCGGTTCGCCTGGGGACGGTATCCGTTTTTGACATGCAACACTCAAACGCCTTCATGACTTTGTTCTCAGCCATCCACTTCAAAGCTTTGCTTGCTTTCATTGTCATCAACACTGCTTGAAAGTGCTGAGGATGCACGATGACTGGATGTCCCTTAACATCGACTTCCTTGAGGCTATGTTTCTGTTCAAACAACATCCGAAGAACATTTCACGATGAGCTTCGATACAGCACTTCATCATGCCAGGGCCTTACATCAAGACGTCTCGAACAGCATCTTCGCTCTTGTCTTGAGATTGATGCTGCCTCTCAAAGGAGCAATTCAACATGGAGCTACTTGATCCTCAAGCTGGAGTCGTCCCACACGGTATAGGAGCCAGTCATCCAATAATTGCAGGCTGCACATTCTTCATCAAAGCCAGATGATAGCTCTCAGGACCATGGGTGCAGTCATTCATCTAGCAGCAATATTCTCGTCGCTGTCTGTCCATGAGATTATCGACAACCTTGCCACATGTTGTTGTATCATTCGAAAATGTTGTTTATTGGCAGCGACGATGGGTTGGAGCTGCAGTCACTCATCATACATCCTGGATCAAGTGTTCCTTCAATATTCACGGGACTGGGTATGTCGTCCATGGTATGTCAGCATTAGCAACTCAATCCACCTACCAATGCTTCCAGCTACCAAGGGCATTCGTTGTTAGCGTCGATGATAGGAACTCAGAGCTGTAAGTGATTGGACCTTGCTTGGTTCCTGGTGGCCGGACCACCAAACCTTGCCTTTCTGGTCGAAAGACCTGGGTCAATCAGCCAAAGCCTGGGATTCCCCTTGATGCCTACTGAGGGTGAACGCTCCAACAAATGTCTCGCATACCAAAGACATCTGAAACTCCATTGTTGGGATGTACTCTCTCGTCTTATTCTTCAGACACCATGATGTCAGAAGGCGATGGCTCGAAAACGGCCTGAAAGGGCAGGCTGTGAATTGTGTCTGCTGTCTTGGCCATGATCGAAGTACACCTGGGCATCTACAATGGCACAACCCTTCCAGCATCTGTCATGAGCAGGCAAAAGCGCACAATGTCCTTGTCACAACATACCACCGTTTGTGGCGTTCGGGTATCATCACATCGACCAGAGTGCAAAGTTTGTGCCGCAACCATGTAGAATAGAGACTGCAGCCCTCATCTTGATGTCGAAGTCATTGCTGCTGGCCCAAGGAGAAGCATGATACTTGTTCCTGATCGTAAATGTGGAACCAAGAAGCAGCACGGGAACATGATATTAGGCCTTGTCCTCGAAGTCCACTGTGTTGTTGATCCAGTGATGGTCGCTGCGCTCGTCTTCCATTGGCAAGCTCGCTGTCGCCAAAGGAGGCAAAGTGATCACTGTATCTGCTGCCACCTATCATCAGCTGGCTTCGGCTGTGGTGGTACAATTCCCGCGTCAAGAACTTGCCTGGTAACGAGGCCTGTGCTGCAGATTGCCAGAGACTGGTGCATCTCACCTTTAAAAGGCAGCACGTCTCAAGCTGAAAAGAATCACCATGAAATTTGGCGCTGTTGTCTGAGATGCTCACTGAGCCGGGTCAAGCTATCCTCAGCACCACCACTGCACGTCTGCTCAAGATGCTTTGGCTAAGACCTGGCCGTGCATGGTTCAAGGTGGATGACTGCATCCTCACAAAAGCTGGATTGAGATGTACTCGTGATCAAGAATTCAAAAACTTGCCGGCTTTCCACAGTCAGTCTGAGATGACTTCAAATGCGGTTAGTGCCCATGAGGCTACTTGAAGACTGAATGCTGTCTTGATGACGACGTCATTTGTCATTCCAACAGCTGTGAAGACAAAAACCATATTTCTAGCAAAGCAAGCAAGGTTTCCACTTTGCTAAGAATGCAAGGCACTCTATGCAATAGAAAGTGGGTGACAGTTTTGCGCTTCCCAAGTGTGGTAGCGGGGCAACATGGAGATCTTGACTCGCTGAAATGCAACGCAGCTCAGCTTACTGAATGCCAATTTGGATTCTAGCTGCACAGAATTTCAGCAATTCGGAGTCTCAGATCTCGGCAGTCCGCACTACTGTGGCACTATTGCCTTGCATCTGGCATCGAGTCTGCCACTTGGCCTAACAATCATCTAAGAGCCGGGCACGCTCTACGGAGGCTACAGTGCAAGTGGTGACTGTGGAATAGACCTAAACATCATCTTGCCTCAGGACCATGTAGAATCTCAGGGACGACTTGTTGGAGAGCTTCAAGTGCAAGCTACTTTGTCTACTCCGGACGCTAGAGAATGTCTGCTTTTATCACCATAAGCATCGACATACTCTATGCACTGTCTTGTTCTGCTACAGCCGCCTGCGACTTGGGCAACCTAGCCTTCTCAAGCTCAGAAATGTTTCTGTGTGGCAGCAAAAACAATCTCCATCAGTCCAAGCCAGCTTGGCCTTGGCCAGTCAAGATAGGCATGACATACATGCAGCAAAGAAGAATCGGTAGCCGCAACTTGTTCCTCACCACTGGTATGCACGACTTCGGCCTCGATGTGTTGACGATGCCCTACCTGAATTTGAGTTTTGTCCATCTCGAAACTCGGCCCAGTCCGATCGCCGCTGAAAGAAGCATCTGTAGTCACCGTGCCTTTATGAATTGAAGGATCGGGAAGCCACGTCGCCATGCAGTCCTGGCCAGTCCATACCAGCCCACCAGTCCTACCTTGCGATCTCATCTTGCGGCTGTCAATCGACTACAGCAGGGCCTGTGTGGGGGCTATGTTTATTGCATCATTGCTGTAGTGCCTGAGCCGTTGTCCACCAAGCCTTCACACTGTTGTGGATGCTGCACGATGATGTTGTGCGCCGACTATATACGGAGACCGGTGCAATACCAGGCCTGATCGTGATGCTTGAGGCAGGCCAGGTCCTCGGCCATCCTTCCTTCGCAATCATTTTCGATCAAGCATCACCGGTATTATATAGAGATGCCTCTATGCGCCGCCCTTCTGAGTGCGCTGATTATGTGCCCTCTTGGGTATGGAGAATGTTTAGGTCCTCCAGTGTATTCGTTGCGATGGAACTGGGAAACGATACCGCCGTCTTTATCTGGACTGTATATCGGGAAGAGACTACTCTGCCGTTAGCATGTGGTTCTGGTCGATGACTGGAGTTCACAGAGGCGTGAGTAATGGCCGGTGTTACCAGTGCGTCTCAATGTCGAAGAAGGTACTCCGCCGTTCGAATGTGGCCCTGGTCGATGACTGGGGTACACAGAGGCGTGAGTAATGAATGGCAGGCGTTGCCATTCCGTCTTCATCGGGAGTTGATATCTCGCCGATTGCATGTGGCCCTGGTCGATGACTGGGGTGCACAGAGGTGAGAGCGGTGGCAGGTGTTGCCATTGCTATGCGGTGTTGGTCGCCCCGTTTGTATCGTGGGCCGGCTATTGTGACCGACTTCACTGTTTTTAGTGAAGTTGACCACCCGTCTCTTTTCTCCGTCTTCAACTCCGCTCCATCATTCTTATTTCATTTCTCATAACAATATGGCTGAGAGCCCATCGATACCCGGTGCGGCGCCAAATGCGCCAAAGATGAAGCCAGTTGTTCCCGTGCTTACCGTTGCGGCGGTAAGCCGCCTCTCGACAACTCCCCTGCGTCCCTCTCCTTTGCGAGAGATGTCTCGCTCGGCACCAACGAGTGTCATCGAAACGATGACACAATCAGACGAGGGCGAAGAGCCCAAAGCGGCCAGCGATGCTGGTATTCGAAGTAAATACCCTGTCTTCTCGTTTTTAGTCTAGGCTGCACTTGGCCACCTGGGCAGCTGTTCAGCCACTTACTTGGACCTGTGCATCAGCATCTGCTCTAGGATATCCTTGAGTATATGCTCAATGGGCGTATGCTTGGAGTCACTAGGGCATTTGCTGACTGTACTTGTCCAAGCATTTGGCTGGGCATCTGCCTGGGTGGTCATTTGCTTGGCACCTCAGCTGCAGCTCAGTTCTTTTGAGTTCAACTTCATTTTGCTCTCTGTCATCATACTGATGACTTTATTGCCAGACTCACCAACCCTTTCTACAAAGAGCAATCTGGAGCAAGCCTCGACAGACTCTCCAGCTACACAAGGACCACTCATAATCAACGGGATGGTGGTGCCAACCGGCCCTCGTGCTGAGCGAGTCGGCACCAGTGCTGATCCGTTTGTAACGCCAACTCGAGGCATCGAGATTGGTTCTCCTTCTCGCCCCCGTGATTCAGTTACTGTAGCTAGCAGTGAGTTGCAAGCCCAAATAACACCTACACCAAGTGGCTTTACTCCGAGACCGGACCGCCTAGCAGAAGTCATCTCGGCAGACAATGCTCAAGCAATCTACCCGCCACAGGCCTGCGTCTTTGTTGCGAAGTATGTTCAGCTATCCTCGCTGGGACTTCACTAACAGCCTCGAGTTTGTCAAATCAATGCACAGACGAGCAGATCCAGAAATCTTGCGAAAGCAAGTTTGGTGCCTGGGGGCCATGCCACGCTAAAGTTCACCGAGACAAGAACAGAATGCCATATGCATTTGTTCAATTTCATGTACGCCACTACTTGGGTATAGGTTCGAGGTGGGGTGTCCAAACTCGTCGCTTCACTTTTCATCTCGATTTGCCTTCTCAACCGGCACGAGTTTGGATACCCCACCTTGAATGTGTGAGATTAAACTGAGATTTTTCAGGAAATCGAAGATGCCCGCGTGGCAATCCGTGAATCGAAAGGAATGATCATTGACGGCAGGCCAGTTCGTGCAGAGCACGCCAACGCTGATCGTGAGTACCACCTCTGACCCTTGGGTCTGACTGCCTTTCTGACCAGTCACAAGGGGCTGTCCTACTCACTCGCCACACCGGAGGACCCATCACTGATGAGGAGGCTCGTAGCCTACTCGAAAAATATGGTGCCATCGCAGAGACTTGTCCAATCTCAGTAGCCGATCAGAAGGTTACCAATTTGCCTGAGGGTAGATGGGTCAAGTTCGCCTTCTTTCAGGATTGCCAAGATGCGAGATTTGTATGTTTGCAGACATTCTTGTCTCAATGCCTTGCACTGACCACAATAAGGCATTCAAGCACGACGAGTACTACCAACTGGTCATGCATCGTCCTGAAGCTCGCGCACCTGCCAATGCTGCTAATCGCAGCTCTCCAGCAAGTTTCCGGCCATCTGGTCGGTTTCACAATCGTTCGGTATATGGCCGTCGCTGGGTTCCAGATGCACAAGCCGTATTTGTTGGTGATTTACCTTTTGACGTTGTCGAGGATGAAATTCGCGAAGCGCTCTCGACCTATGGTCGCATCCAGTGCGTAGATATTCTCCGCAAGGATGTTGAAAATGGTAAGCACTGTATCCTGACAAGCACCATCACAGCTAACCTTGTGTTCAGGTACCGACATGAAGATTTTTGCCTTCGTCGGGTTTGATAACACTCAATCAGTTGAAGACGCGCTATGTGCCGATGTAAGTGGACCTTGATAGATCTTTTCATTCCGAAAGCTCTGACCATCTTCCTACAGACCTACCTCCGTGGGTACCGCATCCGGGTCGAACGCAAAGAGTACACGATGCGTCGTAACATGCGTATGGGTATTGGACCGCACTCTCCTCGCTACTTGGATCCCATTCTTGTCCACCTTTACAACCAAGGACTCCAAATGGGACTTCCCCAAGATCAAGCGGTGCGCATCTTGCATCTCAACCGACGTCCTCGGGTCGCCAGTGGCTACGCGAATCCAATGTATGGCTCTCCTGCCCCCGGTGATGCTTCCTATGACTCCTCCTTGGCCCCATACGGCTCTTCACCATATCATCCCCAACCTGGCAACACCGAGTATCAGCAATTCACAGGACCGCAACAAGGCAACGTTCAGTATCAACAGCTGGCAACTCCACAGCCTGAAAACGTCGAACATCAGGAATCTGCGGCACCACAGGCGCCAGAACAGTACGGTCAATTTGGCAGCACCAACCCAATGTCCACTGCTACCTCACAGATGATGACTGAGAATAACCCCTACCACGCTGACCCAAAACAACCATCTCAGGCCATGGCTCAGTATGGAACTATGCCGATTGAGCCAATCTTTGGGACAGGATACTCTTACAACTATCCAAACCAGCCACACACACCTATGATTCCTATTCCTGAGGCGGCCCCAACCGAGCACCGTTTCTCTCATGAGGTATATGGTCCTAATACCTATGCTAATGAGGCTTACGGCCCCGGGGATTATGCTGGTCAGCCCAGTCATGGTCACAGTCATGGTTACCACTAAGGTACGTTACGCTCCCTTCCATCCTTCAGCTTTGTGCTAAGTGAATCAGGTCTTCATAGCCCAACTCACTACACTCGAATGGACCAGATTCGACTTCCGCTGTCACCAAACAAGTCTTGAGCAAGATCTCTTGACTTTTCATCACGTGCATCATCACTACCACATTTGCTTCCCAATCCACTACAACTATGACCATCGAGTTTGATCGTCTTCAGAGCTTCGAAGACACTGATCACGAGCTACAAGAGATCCCAGTCGGACATGATCCTTGATATGGGCAGTGCGCTACAAAGAAAAAGGCTGGACGGTTAGGAATTCCTCGTCGGCAATACTTGACAAGGTCAAGTCATTACCCAACTGGGTCCAAAGCCAAAAAAAACCCCCCCAAAAATTTCTGTTTCATGCATGTACTCTAGTCGTTGCAATGCAACCTATGCAGAAGACTCGACAGAGCTTCGTCGGCCTCAATAAAAGTCCTTCTCGAGATATATATTGCCTAATTTGTGCTGTTGTAGACTCGTGATAATGTCTTTTGTGGTAGAGTTTTGGCGGTGTAGCTTCGCCGTTTCGCAGCACCGTTATCCCGGCATGAAGCAATACATCCTTTTTACTTCTATCGTCGTTGATGCATACCACCGACGCATTAGTTGTAAGTCGAAGATAAGCACAATCTTCCTACATTAGCATGCAGCGCCGTTGACACAATGGTACTTCTAGCATTAATAACCCGTCAAGATTCTGGTATTTCTCATCTGCCCTAGTACACTTGGACAAGCTGACTTAGATCCCTCTCCCCTCCGGTTTGGGGGGGAGGTAAGTAGGATACATTCAGAATTGTACACACGTGACGTAAATAACCAAGGAGAAGAAATGCGAGGGCCGGCTCTCTACTGAGAGGCGCTACAAAGGGGCTGGCTTGACAGAGCGAGAAAAGAATATCGATTCATCTGTGCCTGGCAGAGCAACCACCACAATCCCAGGCCTTCTTGTTCGCATCCGAAGATGTGAGTAGGGACTGTCGTCGTCAATTGATTGTGTCAGGCAACTGAAATTGTAGGTGTGAGCGATCACTTCTTTCTAATACAGTTGTAGAGCCCCTGGGACGGCTTCAATGCCACGTAAAGAAAAGTCTGCCCCGAGCTTACCACGTACTGCCCTAGACTATTATATAGACTGTCTGCATCCAATTGGCCTGTATCTCTGAACCTCAGGTGCGCTTTCGGTAGGCTCGTCCATCATGTATCCAGCTTCCATCATTCAGACAAGCATCGCAGGGCCGGCTTCTGGGTTGTTTGACCAATGATGTGGTTTTCTATGTAGGCATCACAATCTCTCTGTCGCTGCTCGGCTTCGGAGCATTGAATGACCTTGGCATCTTTGTTATATGCATGTTGGCACATGAACTTCTCCCTTTGGAAAAGTCTTCTGACACATTTCACTAAGATGGGCATTAGAAACCGTTCTCGGCTGGCCAGAGCAGAGATCCCATGGTGTCTCACCTCAGTTTTTCGTTAAGAAGTTTCATGAGATATGTTGATGGTTCCTTCAGGCTCAATAGAACTGTAGAGACAGCCTGGAACAGGCCGTTTATCTATCATAAAATCTGCTGGGCGTGAGGAAAGTGCGAGTCACCAAAACTGCTGCCGGCACTACTCTGTCGTCTGCCCAATAGTGATTAGGCTTATTCTTGAAGTAGAGAAAAGTCTGGTGAACAGTCCCCTGTGTATGGATGAGAAACGTCCGATTCTCACATCGATTCATCAGGTACCACATATGGCTTTGAATGTAGAGTATGTCCCGCTCAAAGGCGCCTTCTGTCTGGGAGACTGAGACGCCCTGATCACGCTCATATCCTTACAGATATTGATTGAGGCTGTGAAGCTTCGAACAAGATGCCAATAGTGGATGGTCAAGTATCTCCATCAAAATCAAGTTTGCAGCGTGCCAGGTAATCTTTACACTCTTTGACCCGGTTCTTAAACTCTTCCATTCCCATAATCTTGCTGTCCTTCCCCAATTCAAGATGCTCCACTTCTTCCACCTTAGAAACGACCTCGGTCTTCAGATCGGCGACAGATGCATATTCCATGTTCCAGCACTTCTGCAGCAAAGTGTTGAACATCAGAAACCCGTCAATAGAACAACTAGCGTATTCACCGTCTGCATCTAATAAGAAATCTGGGTCGTCGCCCGTGAGGATGAAGTAAAAGCAAGATCCAACAGCAAACTGCTCGGTTCCGACCCCTGCTTTGCCGAAATGACCTTGCTTGCTCATCTTGTAGTAAGGTTGGTGTGCACCGACGATGTATTCCCCGAAATGGTACGCGTTGTCAAAGTCACACAGTTTGACATTGCTGCGATGGTCCAGTAAGATGTTGATGGGTCGAAGATCACCATGTATCAGCTGCAGCTGCTCAAGCCAGGAAGCAGCAGCAGATATCTGACACATCCAACGACATCGACCTGCCCTTCAAATAGGTCTTTTCTCGCTGAAATGATGGTAAAGGTCATGTGTCTGCCTTTCGAGAAATAGATAAAAGGGGGTGTTGAGAAAACAAGGGACTATATTCTGATGCCAGTTCCTTGGTCGGCAAAGAATGTCGTATATCGCACTCTCGGTTTTCATTCCCTCAAAACTGTCTGCCTCCTGTCGATGATCCTTGCCAGCATTGTTTTCGAATCTCCATACGGTCTTGACCACGATCTTATCACTGACTTCAAATACGAGACCGGTCGCGCCGCTTGCTAGGTAGCGAGAAATGGTGAATGGCGTTCTCACACGACCACAATTTTCACCCATAATTTAATTGACCAATTCAAAATGGAAGGGATTGGGAAATGGCTCTCCGTGGATGACCTGATGCTAGCGTTTCGAGTCCAAGTCCCTTATGGCAGTAACGCTGTGGCTCGACTGGCTTTACTTTGGCTTCGCCAAGTTCTGTTAGGTTGGTAAGAGTATCAGAACATATCAGAACATACAGAATGCGGTGCATTTGACAACAAAAGATGAACAATTGTCCAGCCCCAGTCCAGGGTAAGGACGGAGCGTCCGGGGCCGTCTGGTCACTAGGACACTTCAGGTCATGGGAGATCTGGCATGTTCATCCATTGACAACGGCTGGTTCATAACTGTTGCCTTCTAAGCCTAATTTGGTGCTTGTGCCTCAAAGCCAAGGAGATCGTCATGGCCAGACACTGTGGATATCTTGAGGTACTCACTCGAACAATCAAGATAGATATGACACACTAACAGAGGTGCATTTTCCATTCGTGTCGCCTCATTTAAAGTATTTCCATCGACTTGCATTCCCTCCGTAAACACTGCTATGTAGCTCACAGCCGACCAGCCGCCAGCATCGTCAATTCCACCCTCAAACATGGCAGCCTTCGTTCCTCAAGCAGCGCCCCGAGGTCCGTTTGGCCATCCTGCTCCGATCAATGCGAATGCAGCTCCTCTTGGCACTTTTGCTCCGGGCACGAAAGTTCAGGTGGGCAACCATAGAGTTGTTATCGAGAAATACCTCTCGGAGGGCGGTTTCGCCCATGTCTACGTTGCCCGCCTGCCCAAGCCCGTTGATGGCTCCCATATGGCGGTGTTGAAGCGGGTGGCTGTGCCAGACAAAGAACATCTGGCGAATATGCGGACAGAGGTGGAGACGATGAAGAAGTTGAAGGGCCATCGACATATCGTCAGATACATTGACTCGCATGCTTCCCAATTGAAGGGGGGAGGATACGAAGTCTTCTTGCTGATGGAGTACTGCTCGGGAGGAGGGTTGATCGACTTTATGAACACAAGGTTACGGAATAGGTTGACAGAGCCAGAGGTTCTACAGATCTTCTCTGACGTGGCCGAAGGGGTGGCCTGCATGCATTACCTGCGACCACCTCTCCTGCACAGAGACTTGAAGGTTGAGAACGTGCTGATTTCCAACTCCGGCTCCTCGACAACATACAAGCTCTGTGATTTCGGTTCTGCGGCTCCACCAAGACCAGCTGCATCTTCCGCTGCAGAGGGACGGCTCATTGAGGACGATATTCAGCGGCATACGACCCTACAATATAGAAGTCCAGAGATGATTGATGTATACCGAAAACAACCAATTGACGAGAAGAGCGATGTCTGGGCGCTGGGGGTGTTCTTATACAAACTCTGTTACTATACTACGCCTTTTGAAGAAGTCGGACAAATGGCTATCCTCAATGCACGCTTCAAATATCCCGCGCATCCGTCATTCTCGGACCAGCTCAAGATGCTTATAGCAACAATGCTGAAAGAGGATCCAGCCAAGCGACCGAATATCTACCAGGTGCTGCAGCAAGCTTGTTCAATGCAGGGAAAAGAGAATCCAATTCGTGATATATACACAACTCGAAGCCAGTCAGAGAATCGAAAAAGCATCCAGTCGCCTACTTCAGTTGGAATAGCTGCTTCAGCCCCTGGTGCTATGCTGTCTCCACCGGTACAGAAGAAGCCGGCCGCACTACCTGATATTGCCCCTATGAGGAGAGGCAGACCTACCAAAGCGACATCGCATCATGGGTCAGCGCAACCAAGTCCCTCGCCGTTACGAATGATGGATGAAATCGACCCTTTTTCTTCATTGGATGGTGGTAAAATGGGTGCTGCAGATGAGCTTTCGTCACGTTTCCCCACCCTTGACCAGTTCTCACTTCTCACAGAGAAGAGCAACCAGTTTGATTTTGAACCATCGGCCGCCGACAGGCCTGTGCCTGAGAAGGCAGACCTCTCCCAGAGGGTGCTAAACGCTCTGGCAGACGAAGCATTTGCACGACCTCCTTCGCCTGGACCACCGAAGCCTACCAAGACAGTTCCTCCAGTGATCAATCCTTCATCTCGTGTTGTTGCCGACGGGAGGAAGTCATACGAAACCAAAGACGTGCCCCGGCTACCAGACGATATTGCATCCCCAGCCCCTCACAGACCGTCGATGGTTTCAACAGGAACAATGACGTCGCCCTCTCCACCGCCTCCGTCTGGTGACAAATCAATCCATCGATTTCCTCCAGCGAACCATACAAGACGTCCTTCAAGCCTACCGCGGTCATCGGAAGCCAGTAGACCAATGTCAGGAGTCAGCAACGCTGGTTCAAGGCTACCTAATCTGCTCAGCCAGGATGCCGCGAAGTTGCAGCAGGTCGCACTGGCTGAGCCAAAGTCACCCTCTTCCTCCAGACCATCCCTTGAAGGCTCCCGGCCAACTATGATGGAAGTTGATAGTGGTGTCAGCAGGTCGAAGTCTACCAACTCCAAATTGCGCCCTGCTAGTATGAACATTGTTTCCAAAATGGACTTCTATCGCGGCCAGAGATCAAGCAGGCCGTCCACCAGCACGGCCGAGAGGCCTACCCACGAAGATAGCCCGCCTCTACTTTCGGTCGAGTCCGATATAAATATTTCCTCAGATGTGGAATTCCTGCGGGCGAAAGAGGAGGAAGACAAGACATTTAAAGGACATAAGCGCCATAGTAGTGGCTCGGGGCAGAAGAAGCGCGGCAGTCTCCCGTCACTATCATTATCTGGCACCAAAAATCTCCTCGCTGGCAGATTCGGTGATGCATTCAGAAAGTTCGAGGCTGGTAACAGTGGATCTAGCCACAGAAGTCGAAGTACGTCTCCGTCGCGAGATCCTATTAACGTCTTGACCCCTATAGCTGGATCAGAAGCGACTGATCTGAGTGAGGAGCGACATGGTCTAGACGAAACTGAAGATCTATCTCCTGAAACACGCCGTGAACTCGAGCGAAGGAGACTATCGGCTGAGGAGAAGAGAGTGGCGAATGCGGCAGCCGAGTACCGAAAGAGATTGGCGGAGAAGGGTGGAGAGCGAGGCCGAGATCCTACAAGGGCTCTGTCTATACAAAACAAGGTCCAGTCCCTGTTGAAGGAAAATGATCGACCAGCGACCAAGACAGCCGCTGGCTATGGGCGATACACTAATTCGAATGGTTCTCCGCAGATGAGTCAGTTCGAAGCGCCACAGAACATGGCAGTCAAGCAAGCGCCTCGAAATCATGCAATGCAGAATATTGCTGTTCAGTCGCCTCCTCACGTGGATAACTCTTTGTCGGAGCCTCTACGTACCGTCACTTCACCGGCTAGTCTTCCTTCGACTGCTCCTATGAATCTTACTTCTCCGAGGGCCTCAATAAGACCAGCTGCTCCACCAAAGCCGAAGAATATGAGGACGGGCACGAGTGAGACAGTTGAGCAGCCTGCAGAAGCTGGTCCAGTCAACAACATCTCGGCGAGCAGTCCGGCTGATGACTGGGAAGCCACATTCAGCAAACGATATCCCAGCCTGTCTGGTCTGGAAATGGTCGAGACAGAGATTGACAAGGTTGCTACAATCCGGGCGAAGGAGGTATAGAATAAGCCAGCCAGTACGGAGTAGTGAGAGAATATGAGAGAATATAAAGAGAGAATACCAGCACCTTCCTTTGCTGCAATCTGCCCGAGTCAGATGTGCATATTGCCCTATCGTAGCTTTTCCGTTGAGCAGTGACGACCTGCGCCTGCCTGGCACAGGAACATTGCAACTCCATCACCGCGTCTATGCGCAATGTCTCACCATCTTCTCAGCATTTTGTCCATACTAGTAGTTCAATACAATTGATCTCTCAGTCTCGCCAACCTTGAATTTCACTCTTCGGCCCCCACTCTCTTCTCCCTGGGTCGTCTCCCCACACTGACCGATTCCGAGAATGGCTAGAGGCAGGAAGTGGGGAACGGCTGCAACGGCTGCAAGGAACCGTGAGCGCGATGGAGACTTCGACCCCCCGCCCCCCAAGAGAGGTCCCCCAAAGAAGCCTACAAGCACAAGCCCACGCAAGGGTCGAAAGGCTCAACAACATAACACCGTCGACGAGGGTGTTGCTGCTACCCCTGACGATACTGGCTCACAAGCACAAGCTCAAGCACAGAACGACGACAGCACCTACGATTCTTCTCCGCGCAACGAGACCTCTCAAACCACCCCCTTAGCGACACTTGCTCGCCAAAACGCTGCACGAAGTACGCGAAACAACAAGAACTTTCTTGATCCGAGTTCGGGCGGTTTGGTGGCAGAGCAAGCAAGCAGTTCTTACGCTGGGCCGAGTTCCAATACACAGTCTAAGGTCGTTGTTCTGAAAGTTCCTGCGCACAAGCTGCGGGAGATTGTAGAAGCGCATGCAGCCCCAGAGAGGAAAGTGACTCTGAAAGTTTCACCGGAGAAGCTGCGGAAGTTGTTGCAAGAGACCGGTGAAGGGAATCTTGAATCGGAAGCGGCAAAGCAGCCGGAAACACCTCAGGGAGGAGAATCGGCAGGAATGGCTCCCGTCAAAGACAAAAATCCACACGATGTGCTCGATGGTGAGTCAATTTTGACCAAGGAGGATTTTTACCAGTACCATGATATTGATCACACAGGGCCAGATCATTTCAAAAATGTCATCCAGAATCTCTACGATATTGGCAGCATTACTCATGGCTATCTACCCGAGTCTCACGATCCCCTGTTCAATAAAAAGTGAGTCGCCCTAGGTTCTATGCGGGTTTGAACACACGCCATGATCAGTACATATGTCCCTTGTATGTGCCATTATATTGACAGTCCGACCGCCGCAGCATCGATTTCGTCCGATCTCTCGCCGCACTTTCCAACCTCACCGCAGATAATTCTACCCACCCCGCCGCTCCCACCATCCGGGAAATTCTCATCCCACCCGAAGTCATCGACTACGTCGCCAACGGCCGTAATCCTGACATCTACACGCGCGAATTCGTCGAGAACGTCCAACGCGGCAACCAAGTGCTCAACGGCAAGATGCAGGCGTTTGGCACATTCGCCGAGTTGTACGCCCGAGAGACCAAGAGTGCGATACCGGAGCTGGCGCCTGCGATGGATCGTCTGATGGAGCATTCAGGAGGGTATGAAAGGGAAAACGGGACGGGAGATTGGAAGATGAAGAAAACACAAGCAAACGGGTCTTGAGCTGCCATGAACAGGCGGCTTTAGGCTAAGCATCACCTTCAGCGGGTGACAAAAGTCCATTTACAAGGCTGGCCGGATGGAGTATCTGCTCGTGGCGCTGCGCTTACATGCATAGCGCTGGTTCGGTATTGGCATTGGATTCGGAGTTTCAAAGATACCCCAAAAGCGGTGGCCTAAGTCCAGAGAGTGGTGATCCTGGCAGATGCGCTACTACTTGTGCAATAGTTTCTCAGTCTTCAAGAAATCGAAGAGAATCTACGGCGAGAACGCTGAGAACTCACTCTTTCGAAGTCTAGCTACAAAGAAAGGCAGCTCTACTGCGACTCTGTTTATCCTTACCCTGTTCGCCGAAGTCTGTGCAACGTACCCGATCCCGCGCCCTGCCTGCTAATACTCATCAAACTGCCTATCTGCCTCCATGTCAATTCCGATCGTGATGCGGCCTTGATTTTAATTCGCTTCCTCCTCCAACCCAACTGCGGCTGGTCGTAGCAAGAATGCCAGCAGCTTCCCCCCTCCAGCCTCCTCCCCGTCTCTTCCCCCCCCCCCTCTCCCTCCCTAAGAAAAAGTAGTAGACGTCCCAACGCGCTCACCCCTCCAACTCCAACCTCCCCCTCCACCCGCCCCGCTCCACCAGCACGAACTCAAACCCGCTCGGTCTCGTCGGCCTCCCCGCGTCATATTCCTCCCAGGGCACATGCTCAAATGCATCCAACCCCTCCCCCCTCTCCCTCGCGTCTTCTCTTTCCGCCCAATCTCCGCCGCACACACCACCCACGCCACGCACAGCACCATCATGTCCTCCGCCATGCGCGTGCCGGGACACACGCGCCGCCCGAACCCGAAGGCCCTGACGACCAGAGAGAGCGGGAGCCGGGTCGTTTGCGGGTAGAGGGTTGGGGAGAGGAAGCGGGTCGGGTTGAATGCTTCGGGAGACGGGTAGGTGACGGCGTTGCGGGTTAGGGTGTAGTGGTGCCAGAGGAGGAGGGATCCCTTTTTCAAGAGGTAGGGGGTTTTTGTCGTCGTTGTTGTTGTTGGGGTTGCGGGTGTGTAGAGATCGTCTCGCGTGAGGCGGTGGGGGAATCCGCCCGGGAGGGTGGGCCGCCAGCGCAGCGTCTCTTTGAGCACGGCGCGGATGATGGGGAGGCGTGGCATGTCGCTGAGGTCTGGCATTCGTGGCTTCTTCTTTTCTTCATCACCTCGTCCAGGGCTAGATGGGTGTTGCGGAGACTGCTCGCTTCCTGTTTCGCGCTGAGTTGTGTCGGAGGAGACGCGACCGCACACTTGGCAGATCTCTTCGTAGATCCGGGACTGCCATTCTGGGTACCAGAGCATGGCTTGGAAGAGGAGTTTTAGTGCTGCGGGCGTGCCGGCCATGGAGGCTTCGATGTAGGCGCCCAGGGTGTAGGCTGCCTCGTGGGGGGTTAGGCTTGTGGATGTCGCTGTGGTTGAAGGTGAGGAGGGTGGGGATGTGGTGCTGCTGGTGTTGGTCCATTTGGAAGGGTTGAGAAAGTAGAGTTTTGATATCGACCACGGCTCCTCTTGTTTCGTCTTCTTGCCTTCACTATCGTTCTTGAGTGATACAGCTCCGTTAGAACCACTTTCCTCTCCCTTGACATTCCTCTCCGCAGCGAGCGCACTACCCATCCTCTCCCCAACCCCAAAGAACATCCGATGGATCATCTCCCTCTCCCGCCGGAGATACTCCTTCCCACTCTCCTTCCACGGTCCCAGCCAACGCGGAACGAATCTCAACCACGGACATGCATTGACGGCATATCTTGCCGGTTCAGCCGCTTTCTCGAACTCGTTGTAAAACCCCACCCAGTCTCTGACGTACTTCTCTGACGAGGATTTGACTTCGTAGCCGTAAGCTAGTTGGGAGACGACGCCGCAGATGTAGGCTTCCAGGATGTGGTGCCAGTAGGTTTTGAGGTCTAAAGTTGGGGGAGGAGCAGCGGTAGCTGTGGAAGGGGTGGTTGTTGTGGTTTGAGATGGGGTGGTGGAATATGTGGCGAGGAATTCGTCCAGAGTTCGGCGGACGTTTTGATTCAACGCGGCAATGTAGTGTGGGTTGGAGGCGTGTGACTGGAGTTGCGCAAAGTGAAAGAATTTGCGTTGGCGGCGCCATGTATCTGTTCCATATCAAGCAATCGATTAGCATGTGTCAGTCATTACTGGGACTTGGTTCGAAGTAGAACGGTGCTAGTTGTGGGTGCTCACCTCCATACTTGATGATCGGCAAGTGTATTTCGTCTCTCAAAACTGTGATGTAGTGTCTATCACTATATATATCCCCTCTAGCTCGTAACAGGTCGTTGCAGACTTCCTCCGAACCCAGGACAATGAAGGTCTTCCCCAAAGCGGAGATCCGGTATATTGGTCCATACTCATCAGCCCATACTTTCAACTGCTTCCACGGATTCTTCTTAGGAAACTGGAATGCGTTGCCGATAATTGGGAGGCCTGCTGGTCCCGGAAGAGGGTTTCCTTGTGATCTGGGAGGTTGGAATTTGCGCCAGTAGACGTAAGCAGAGATGAGTAAGGGAAGGAGTTTCACAAGAAGAGGGATGCTAAAACTGCTCATGTCTTGACAGCTGAAGCAAAGAAGAACAACACATATGCATAGGTGATAGAAACCATAGGAATCAGAGAAGTGGATTGTGAAAGGCATTTGATTGGTTGGATCTTGCCATTTCCCTTCCCGGAATGTAGATATTGTTCTTGCATTGGACCGGAAGACAATGCCCGCTGAATTATGAGACACATACCTACCATCAGATCCTGCGTGGTAATCTTCTACCACTGTCTGCGGCCTGTTCCCTCAATGCCGTGCACAGCAGTCGCCGTAGGTAGGTCTTGATGTTAGAGAAATGATAACCTAACCGAGCATAAACAGCGCACCTTCTGCTGTACTGCTGGGATTTGCCTGCATCGATACTCTTTGACCCTTCAATTAAGAAATCAAGCGTCATTGCAAAGGCAATGAATTCAGTTTGAATTGTTGCTGTGGGTGACGCTTTTCAATGTGATCTCGATACGGTACAAACATGTCAATGGTAATGATACTGATCTTAAATGCGAGAGCTAATACTTCTGTCGACCTTCGAGCAATTACTGTAGGATAATATTAAACTCAAAAATACAGTTTGCGATATTTTGCTACGTGTGTCACAAGCGTTTTGTTACAGAATCGATACGTGTTTTAACTCAGCCAGGCATGTATTTTTGGTATCTGTGTTTCGCGCTATTTCGCTTGATATAGCAACTCTACGTATAAATGCTCGCTCTGCGCACTGAATTAGATACTGTGCATTGCGAAAGTGTTGCAATTCCTTGGCGCTACCCTCGAATTGCTGGCGCCGCGGGGCAGAATTGCGGTGAGATGTAGGAATAGCTCCCTAGGGCCGTAGAACGCGTAGAAATTGCTTGAAATTGCTCATAGACCTCGCTGACGCCCTTCTCTTGCCCTATCTCAACTGCTGGCCCTTGGTGTTGAGTTCGCGATGAGCAAACTGCGCTTTTCGAAGTCGACCGTCGACGAAATGGCCCTTTTGCTTGCTACAGGCGTAGAACCACGAGAAATAGCTTATAGATTTCGATGCCACGCTTCAACTGTGGGCCGAATCCGGCAGAATATTGATACGTTCGGAGAGCCACGGCCAGCGCCTCAAGCGAAGATGGGTAGGCCGCAAAAAATCACTCCAGAGGCGCTTGAGGGCCTCCTTGATTGGCTTCTGGATAACGGCTCGGAGAAGAAGCTCTCGTATCTAGACGAAATGGTAGCGTTTCTAGATGAGGAGTATGATATAGAAGTATCGAAATCAACTGTCTGTCGAACGCTGGCAAAGGAGAAGATCACACAGAAAGCTGTTAGTACTGTATCACTCTAATTCGCACAAATTCGGACTTACTTTGTAGGTTGAGCGTCAAGCTGCTGAGCGAGATGAAGACTTGCGAGACTACTATAGAGCTCAGATATGTGAAGTTCGTGCTGAGGAGGCTATATTCGTCGACGAATCGGCTGCGCATGAGCGCACAAAAGACCATAAAAGAGGTTGGTCTCTACGCGGCGTACCGTGCAGAGTAACAGTACCAAACGGGCGCTCAAGGAGATGGAGCATCTTGCCAGCTATAAGGATTAACAGCTATCTCGACTATGAGATATACCACAGCAGCTTCAACCACAAGAGATTTAACGCATTTATTCAAAGATTACTAATAAAGATGAATCCGTATCCTGGGCCACAGTCTTCTTCAGTTTCAGTTTCACAGTAACTACTTACTGCGTCCGAATTGTTTTCGACCATTCTCACAGGTTCCCAGAACCAGCGGTCTACTACGTTATACCATGATACCAACGTTATACCATGATACCAACGTGCACAAGCTACCTTCTCAATTTCATCGCTACACTTATCTTCTGGAGTGGAGCCTCGCCTCACATCTTGACCTTGGACATGCCACTACAACAATTACCCCTTATGAAGCCCACCAACTGTACGTTAAGAAGCATACAAAGAATTACTTTTGCCATTGTTATTTTCGTGTTGATGAAACCACTATTAATGTGCCCTATAATACGCTTAAGGCGCTATAAAGCTATAGAGAGATAGTACGGATAGAGAGCTATCAATTAATAGTATAAAAGTAGTAGTAGCTGTTATGATTAAGTTATAATTGTCAAAAAGCAAACTGCTATCTTGATAGAATTTATAGTATTAAGTTATAATATCCTGCCAAGCCTAAGTCTTAGCACAAATTTCCTATTTGAGCAAAATTTTGGAATTAAATTCTGTGAGCTTATATATGCGCTAGTAACTTAAATATACTCTAGTAATTAAATTTTTACGTGTTCCTATACAAAATAAAAGACAATACATGTAAACTTAATACACTACTTAACGTCTATACACACTCCTCAACGCCAACTATCCTCTATCTACGAGCTTAGAGCGTCCTCGCCTCTGCTCTCCTCAGGTATATCAAGATCAAGCTCACTCAGGAGATGCTCTACAACCTCGTCCTCAGGAGATGCTCCGCAACCTCGTCAACGGCCTCCGGATGCTGTAGATGCCATATTTTGTCGTTTTTTAGCAAATCCATCTTGATACCAACGTCGATACTAATATCCTTCCATTCTTCGTTGCTCAAACTAGCCAAATCCGAAAAACCCACGCCAGCACTTATCAGCAGGTCCTGTGCACAGTTAAATGCAGCACAGCGCGCAGGCCGAGCACGGATTCGAGCCTGAATGAAGGCGAGTAGTCGGGCATCCTCATCTCTGGCCTGTAGGATAGGGCTACTTGGCAAGGGTAGCGCTGACGCTGGCGCTATAGCAGATGAAACTAGGGTCTCTATATCTGTATCTTGAGCCCTGTTATCTACGTTTTCGTAGATAGGAGTAGCCGGCGGAGGACCCCTTGAGAGGTTGATATTGA